CTGATTCACCACCTGATCTGCGAATTATCCATTACAACGATGTTTATCACTTAGACTCTTCCAGTGCTGAGCCTGTGGGCGGTCTGCCAAGATTCATCTCTGTGTGCCGAGAGTACCAGGAGGGCGAGCAATTCAAGGATCAACCTAAAGCTTTGACTCTCTTCTCCGGTGATGCCTTCAACCCCAGCTTGGAGAGTACAGTGACCAAGGGTGAGCCAACCTGGCTTTAATGATGAGATTTAATTTATATTGACTATTTGGAACAGGTCAGCACATGGTTCCTGTCCTTGATCATGTTGGGACCGATTGCGCTTGCGTAGGGGTGTGTAGGTCATGCCATCCTTGACCGACATGGTAACTAACGAGGCTCAATCTATAGAACCACGACTTTGACTTTGGTGTCAAGCAATTTGAGCATCTCTCAAGTCAAAACAAGTTCCCCTGGCTGCTCGCCAATGTCATTGACCTTGATATTGGCAACGACACGCCCCTGGGCCATGCCAAAAAGACCCATATGATGACCACCTCCAACGGTATCAAGGTTGGTTTCATTGGTCTCGGTGAGCGAGAATGGCTTGAGACTATTAACAGTCTACCCCCAAATCTTGAGTACAGATCCGCCACCGCTGTTGCCAAAGAGCTTGTACCCAAGCTACGAGAGGATGGCGCCGAGGTTGTTATCTGCCTGAGCCACATGCGTGAGCCAAATGACAACAAGTTGGCAGAGCAAACAGAGGGGCTCATCGATATAATCCTTGGAGGACACGACCACTTCTACAACCACAGCTTCATCAACGGAACTCACGTGCTCCGATCTGGTACCGACTTCAAGAACTTGAGTTACATTGAAGCTCGCCGTCAGGAGGGTGATGCGTCCAAGTGGGACTTTGACATCTGGCGCAGAGACATTGTCTCATCCATCAAGGAGGACGAGAAGACGCTGGACAAAGTTAACGAACTTACCTCCAAGCTAAACAAGTCTCTCGCCCGACCTGTCGGATATACGGCTACTCCTCTGGATGCTCGCTTCAGCACTGTTCGTCTTAAGGAGTCCAACATTGGAAATTTCGTCTGCGACGTTATGCGACAGCACCACAATGCCGATTGTACCATCATGGCTTCTGGAACCATTCGAGGTGACCAGATCTACCCCCCTGGTGCAATCCGCATCAAGGATATAACGACATGCTTTCCCTTTGAGGACCCTGTCGTATTACTCAGGGTGACAGGCCAGGCCATTTTTGACGCGCTTGAAAATAGTGTGGCCATGTACCCCGCTCTAGAAGGCCGATTCCCTCAAGTCTCCAACATTCGTTTCGAGTTTGACCCATCGAAGCCTAGAGGGGAGAGAGTGCAATGGGCAGAGATTGGTGGAAAACCATATGAGCCTGAGAAGTTGTATGTTCTCTGCACCAGAGGATACATGGGACGAGGAAAGGGTGCGTATACAAACCATGAATGACAGTGTATAGAAACTAACAAAGACGACAGATGGATTCACTAGCTTGCTGGTCAAGTCTGAAGGTGGAGATGCAGAGGAGATCATTGAAGAAGAGAATGGTATCCTCATCTCAGCCATGCTGCGCCAGTATTTCATGGGTCTTATGACAGTCGGACGTTGGAAGAACCTTGCCCAGCACTGGGTCAAGGTTGCTCAAAGCTGCGAAACGCCCGTGTCACCTGTCCAGACCAAGTTCAATGTCGACTTCCCTGATATGAAGTCGGTCTCCAAAAATCTGCCCAAGGATAAGCGCGTTGAAGAAGTAGCAAAAGACACCAAAGATCCTTGGCACAAGTTCCTTAAGCGCCGCTTTAGCCTTAACGTCAAGCCCCACGAAGAAGAAGATAGCAGCGAAGAGGAGGTAGACGAGAAGTCCGACCCCATGGTTGACGATCCGGAGGACCCGGACGGTTCAAAGCTCGACCTTGAGATCCTGCTGATGCGCAAGTTTTTCACAAAATGGGCCCTCAAGGCTGGAGTCAAGACCAGCATTTGCGATCCTCTCAAGCAGGGAGAGTACACGGTCGATTGGACAACATGCATCGCTCCCGTGGTTGATGGACGTATTATCATGACGGGCGCTTCTACACCGCAAAATTAGATAAGAGGATACAGAAAATAAATTAGCCTAAAAGCAGGACTAAGATAGCATGAAATAACTAAATCATTTTATCCCTGAGGTAAGTAGTTAAGCTTTCTGTAACCCCAGGGACTGCTTACTGTCTCACCATCCCATAAGCCAGTTACAAGGACATGGGCATTCGGTAATTGAAGCTTCTTTTAAATCGTCGCTAAAGATGCCAGGGTAGAAACTGTCCGAAGGTCTCAAATTCTGTCATGAAGGAGCAGGTCTCACAAATTTCTGCTTCCCCCTAAGCATTTTAACATGGGACTATGCGAATAGTAACATGTAGATTACTCCTCGCTTGTTGGAAGCCGGCAGGCAAATAAAAGTCGAAGTTGCACAGAATATCCAAATCTTGTGTTACTCTAATGTTACATGATCGATCGGCAGCGCCGCTCGAGCGTTGAGGAGATCCGAGACCTACCAAGGTACGGTGATCTCCTGATTCGATGTGATCTTGTTATCGCAAATGATAGGATATAGAGGCTTGCATTTCTAGCCAATACCTGCCGCCAGCATGGCGAGGATGTAAAACACGAGGTAGGTTATGTGCCGATCCTGATACTAAAGCAGCAATGTCGTACAAGTCTCAGAAATTGAGGCTCTACTGACGAGATGTGTACCCAAATATAATACGAATCGAGTGCTACGTAACCATTTACATCAACTGGCCAGAATCCAGCCTGACCGAGAGTACGATTGTTGAATCGGTCCAAACATCAAGCGCAACAATATTAGGCATTTCTTGGTATGAATGAGAATGACATGGGCGCCTCACCACATAGCTCCTCAAGACACGATCAAATGATTCAAGATAATAGAATTTTCACTACCTTTTCAGCTCGTATAGGTGTACTAGATCCCTGACGCCACTTCATTCGCCTTGATTTTGGTCATTCGCTAATGACTAAAGAATTGAAGTTGCGTAGCATAAGATTCGACTATGACAAAGTGTAAGAGACGAAATTATCAGAATGGAACTTCTGTATTATGTATCTAAACGTCGAGACTGGTTCTGCTCTTCCCTGATTTCGACATCTAACTTTTCGTCTATCGATATCATTGTTTCGTAGTCACATCGATGTAGTATCCCGAAGCCTTTGGCCATAGGCGTATACAAGTTCCCACCCTTGAGGTAAGATAAACAGCAGTATCTGCAGCATCAGCCTCACTTCTGTAGGAGACGTTTCATCTTCAACCCACTCGAATCTTCGACTTTCACCGACTCAAGGCGAAAAGCACAGCCTCATTCGCCCAATTAAACAAAGAAGAACAGGGAAGGATAACGTTTACCTTTGAGGATCATTAGCTGTACTGGACTTGCCCAGGACATGGATTCGGACGCCACTGCCCCTGGCTCACCGGTTTCCAGAAGCTGATCGACGCGATTGGACCTAGACGTTACGCAGAGAAAAAGCAAACATAAACCGCCAAGTGGTTCGTGGGTACAAAAGTGTTAGAATTTGCGCTGACATTCGCTTGAGTGGCGGACACGTTTTGACCAGGTCAACTAAGATGAGCGCAAATCATCCAGGTCGAGCTGAAGCGAGGCTAAAAGATTGCGTGTCGAAGCAACCATATTAGCCGCATGTTTGCTACTTCAAAAGGTCATGGTTACGTTGACAGGAAAACATATGTCGTGATGAACAAGTCAGGATAAAAGACTATGTCACCACTGCTAAAAACCACATCCAATCGATCCCAAAGGCAACAAAGAAATCACGATTATACGAGAGCACGGCCTTACCGGGATGCTGGTACGTGGCGTAGAGAGCCATGAAAGCTGGTAGACCAACCAAACACCAAACGATCATCACAACCCACCCCAGCTGAACTAGTGTATCCGTAGAGTTCAACTTCACATGACAGGATCATCATCCTTCGTAGATCACCACAAGTGCCGAAGCTTCGAGACCATCCCGTGACATTCCCCTCATGCACCGAACCCTGTTATCGACTTTAAAGCTTCCAAGAGGCAACCTATTTGCCTCTAGATAAGCGTTGACTAAAACCCCCTGAGGTTCGTTCTCCTATCATGGCTTTGTCCTCTTCTGAGCCGGAAGACCGGGTGTTACCGAGCCCGTAGCTTACTTGCTAAACCGTCACTAGCTGTAACCTTGGACAGTCAGCGTCTTTTGGTATCTTAGGCCCGGAATAGCTTCCTGTTGGACCTTGGCTGGTACGGTTCTGCCCATGCCATGCAAGCCGCGGCCATCTATGTCCGAGCGAACAGAGTAGAGGATGGCACAAACCCCGTCTCTTTCTGTCCAACGATCCTTTTTATGCCGTACCCCCCGACCTCCTATCTCGTTTCAAAAACACCATGAAATTTTCAGCTTCCCTTACACCGGATAGTCACCAGAAACCCCAATCACGACTTTAAAGAGCCGATACGTTAGCCCGTTGGGCCGCTACCTCCGTATTCCGGTTACACAACCAGCTTTTCGGTGTACGAGCAACGGAGAAATCGGACAAACCAGCATCTATTGCCGTATTGAAATCTGCATCTAATACGTTTGGCAGTTCGGCCCGTGCTGCATTAGCTTCCGCATCCGGGAATCGATTGTGAGGCCCTCCTCTCAGCTTGTCATAGGGCGCATGCTCACCGACCGTTACCGACTTGTGCATGAGTGCCTGAAAGGCGAGGCGAGAGGGAGCTGAGTAAGGGGGCGGCGAAAAAGGTATATATCATCCAAGGAACTCTCTGCGGTTGGAGTCCTATTTGAGATATCGACTCGACTGTTGGAAGCTTGTGACAAGTTGTTGCTCATCAAGGCTCACTATACAAGATATTGGAGATAGACTCGTTCGAGATTCTCAGCTGCGTGTGGAAAGTTTACAGCAAAAGGCCTTCTTTCAGCAGCTAGGAAAATAATGTCTCCTTCCAAAACTTGTAAAATGGAGCCTTGGAAGCTCACAGCATTTGAAGCTTTTGCTCAGATCCAAGCCGACAAGCTCTCAGTCCAAGAGTATGCGAAATCACTTCTTGAGAGAATCGACGAACGAGATAAAGATGTCCAAGCGTGGGCGTATCTAAACGAAGAGATCATAATGAAGCAAGCCAAGAGCCTAGACGAGGTCCCCAAGAAGAATAGAGGGCCTCTTCACGGTATTCCAATCGCTGTAAAGGATGTCATCTACACCAAGGGTAAGCCTCAAACGATACGATATGAATAGAGCTTACTGTGGCACAGACATGCCAACTCAGTTCAACTCGCCGTTATACGATGGGCACTTCCCCGAAACAGACGCTGCTTCTGTTCGAATCCTTCGTCATGCTGGTGCCCTCATCTTCGGTATTGACTCTTTCGTCATTGTGTATTCTTAAACTGACAGGTCAGGCAAAACAACAACATCACAGTTCGCTGCTATTCACATTGGCCCCAAGACTCACAACCCTCATGATCTTATTCGAACTCCTGGAGGTTCCTCCAGTGGCTCTGGGGCAGCCGTGGCTGACTTTCAAGTCCCTATAGCACTTGGAACACAAACAGGTGGCTCTTTGATACGCCCAGCGTCCTTCAATGGTATCTATGGGTTCAAGCCAACGTGGAACGCCGTCTCTCGTGAGGGTCAGAAGATCTATGCCCTGATGTACGACACTCTTGGGTGGTATGGGCGCTGTATCGAGGACATCATACTTCTAGCCGATGTCTTTGCTCTCGAAGATGACGAAGATGAAGAGCCCAGCTTCCAGGGAATCGAAGGCGCACGCTTCGCTATTTGCAAAACCATTGTCTGGCCGATGGCTGGGCCTGGTACGCAAGAAGCAATTTCGCGAGCTGCAGATTTACTGAGATCCCACGGTGCCATCGTAGAAGAGCTTGATCTCCCCTCTGACTTCAATAATCTACCAGAATGGTATCGAATTGGTCTTCACACCGAAGGCCGGGCCACGTTCCTACCCGAGTACCGCGTTGGAAAGAACCATATGGGCCAAGTGTTGATTGAGCACGTTGAAAACGCCGATAACTTCAGTCGCAAGACGCAGCTGAAGGCTCTCGACAACATGGCTCGTTTAAGGCCAGTCTTTGATGAGATCGCTTCACAGTATGCGGCTATTATCACCCCGAGTGTTCCTGATGAGGCCCCCGTTGGCATCGAGAGCACAGGAAGTCACATCTTTTGCTCTATGTGGAGTGTAAGTACTGAGCTCAAAAGCGTCTATTTTTGTTAGTATAGCTGACAGTTACACAGGGTCTGCATACCCCTGTACTCAACGTTCCGGGCTTCAAGGGAGAACACGACATGCCGGTTGGCTTGTCCCTGGTAGCACCTCGATACCGCGACCGCCATCTCCTCGAGGTCGGCAAAGTCGTCGGTGAGATATTCGAGGCTGAAGGAGGTTGGGAGACGAAACTACCGTAAGAGAAAGAAGAGTGTACGAGTACGAATGCATTAAGATCAAGATTGTACCGTCACATGATGAACAAAAGGATATGGGATGGCGCATGGGAACAATATGTACTTCTTAGGATAGCAGAAAACGACTCTGGCTGCATAAAAAAACGAAACAAGATCTAGTCACTTTATGCCGCTTTTTCCAACTCTTGAACTATTTGATTTTTGCACCCTAAGCTCAGGTCAGGCTTGAACCTTACAAAACCCGAAGCATGTAAACCTACAACTTTGCACTGAAGTTCTATAACAAAAGAGAACGCCAGGGTGAGTGGAAGAGGGACTTAGTGTGGATAGCCCAGTCGGATATGAAAATATGTGTCGGAGTCGAGAAGTAAGGCTGTCCGGCGACAACTTATTGCTTCGCAGGCAAGAGTTGATCAATGCATGCGATGGCCTGATCTTGTCAGATAGATCGCAAACACGGATTAGAAGCAAGAACTTACGTCTTCTGTCACGATACCCTGGTTTCGGAGGTAATGGCCCATACTCTTAACGAGCTCGACTTGCTCATCGGGGTTGAGGCTGGTGATTGCCGTCTCGAGCACTGATCCAAGGCTGACCTTGTGGATAGCAACGAAGGTGTGGAAGTACATGTAGGCGAAGAAACCCATGATAAACTGGCAGTCCATGCGATCAGTGATCCCTCCGTGTCCAGGAATAGAGTCGCCAAAGTCCTTGATCTTGAAGGTACGCTTGAGGCCGGAAGCAAAGAAACCACCGAAAGGAGCGATGAGCGAAGCAAATGTGGCCAGATTGAGAGCGTGAATCTGCATAGGAGCAATGGTGAAGGAGAAGTTGGCGGTGTCAGGAAGGAAGAACAGCTCGGGCAGCTCGTATGTCTTGGGAAGGAAGACCGGGTTGGGGTCGCACTTGAGGCCTGTAAAGATGTTGGCTCCGAGGTCGTTGACAGGGCAGATGAAGAACTTGGATCGCATCATGATGTTGGACAGGAGCATGGCAAAGATGATGGTCATGATCCAAGCACCGACGAAGCCCTCGACAGTCTTCTTGGGAGACAGCTTGATGAGCTGAGTGCGTCCAAACATAATACCGCAGATGTAGGCGAAAATGTCGTTGGTGATGACCAGAGCTGCGGGCAAGAAGAACCAGATCATGCCCTCGAAGACGTTGTTCATGATGAAATGGGCCTGGACAACAATGAGGTACAGAGCCATGTGAGTCCAGGCGAAGTTGGTGAACTGAAACTTGTAGTGGCCAGCTTGAAGAGAGGTCACAAAGAAAACGAAACCTGCTTCTTGTTAGCTCCAAAGCCCAGTTAGACAAGACTCAACTTACCGAAGACATAGAGAATGAAGCTAATGAAACGGTGGTGAGTGGCCAGAGGAAGCAGAACCTTGTCAACCAGGATAATGTGCTTGAAGTAGTAGATGACAGTCTCGCCGTAGAGGAAGTACATGGTAGTTGCCAGCCAGTACCAGTTGAGACTTTTAGTCGATCGAAGGGAACGGGCACGGCTGGGGACGTTGGCGATGGCAATAACCTCCTTGAATGAGACGATTTGTATAGCGGTAATGATGGTGATAATGTAGATGTGGCCCATAAAGAGCGCTGTAAAGAATAAAGCGAACATGACGAAGGTCCAGAACGTGCGAGTTATGAAGTTGGCCTTCTTCTTTTCATACTCGGCTTGCTTCTCGTTGGCTGGAGGCTGCTTCTGTATCAGTATCAGCGCTGCTCGTTCAACGATTTGGTGATGGCTGAAGCTCAACACTCAAGCTTTCCGGACCATCCTCCTAATTCTGGTGCTTACCTCGTTTACTGTTTCCAGCTGGCCCGAAGATTGGGACTTGAGCTGGGTTGGAGAACCACCATCTTCGCTGCTGAAGCTTGATCGTCGCCCGTCAGATCGGTTGGGGAACCTAACCCCTCTCTTTGATCGAGCCATGGTGTTGATTTGAATGCGCTATAGTGGTCGCTGTTTTTTTTCTTCTTGCTGATTACTGCCAATAATTTCGGCAGTGAGGTTATCGTCAGCTGACGTCGTCTGGTTTGGTGGACGTCGAGTCACTGGTGTAGCACGGGCTCTTGTCGAGGTTGTTGCGAAAAAGACAGTTGTCTGTTCTCACAAATTTGCTTCAAGCGACCTGTGACGTCGTCGCGCAAGTTGGGGCAAGCTCGAAGGTAATTACGGGGTTGGGAGGAGAAGGGTCTGGTCCCTGAAAAGAATCGTCAATCGGAAAAGGCTTGGCCTGTAGGAAGAAGAAAGGCGCTTCTAAGGAGCGGAAGCTGGCAGCGCGGAGGAGTGGGCGAATATGCTCACGTCCAAGTTGTCGCAAATAATTCTTGACGATGATGGAAGAACAAGAAATGGTGGTTTTGAAAAGTCAATAGGCCGCACTTAGCCCCCCCAATCGACAGTGCAGTTCAGGCAGCTCAACCTAGTAACATTTCTAAAAGTGGGTGGAATTTCAGTGTCACCCAGTGATGCTGCACTTCTTCTGCTTCTACTACTGCCAAGCAAACCTCCTACGCAATCAAACACTAACAGCATGACCAAATCTGACCAAAACAGGGACCAATTGAGTCCCTGAGCGCTGCGGCAGTGGCTTGACGTGTTCCGGCGGTTCCAGCGGGCTTCCACTTAGGTTCCCCTCCTAAAGCGTGTATGTAAAATTGCGTCAATAAGCCGACGGGACTTCGGGGGTCAAACGACATCCGATATCTTTTGGGATGGAGGCACATTCGGGCATGATGGGCTACCTCATCTCGGGCCTTATAATCTACGCGTATACCGATCAACATTCAATCCGAATATTCATCATCGGGAAATTGAGACGAGATGCCCCAGACGCAGGGGCTGATTAGCTGTGGAACCCCCGTCACTCGGTAATGGATCCATCTGACAGATCTGTTGAGAGATTCTTGTCGCTTCACAAATGGAGATTACAAAGATTGTCGGTAAAGCAGAGCGAAGCCCTAACAGCGACGGCATGAAATGTAGTAAAGCCACGTAGGACATACTGCGCTATCCCCAGTAGACCCGAATATCTGGTGTTTGTACCTGCACGAATACTAAAATAATATCTCCACTGTCTCTCAAATTATCTATTTGTTAGTGTCTTGTTACTTGTCTTATAATCGTGGCTCAATTTGTAAACAGACTTCGAATTGAATGATTGGAAGACTAAATTCTGTGAACATTTGAACTCAATATCCCAAGAATTGGGAAAATTGACAGGGGTCGCCATGCCTCCTCAAGTCTTCAACAAGCTTGTTCAGAAGCTCTCAAGCTTGAGAAATCAATGACGCAGGCTTTTCTTCACATGCTTGAAAAGACCCAGATTCCAACCTACCTCCGCAAAATACTGCGCCTCAGTTTGTCTGGAGCGCCACAATTTACTGGAAGGAATTGAGCACGTGACTTCGCGACGCGCTTTACAAGCCATTTCCTAACCGTTGCACAATACCGCGATAACAGACAGTAACGGTAGATATGTTTCAACAATAATTATAAACCCACCTTTGTTCAATGGAGCTTTCCTCTCTCGTGGGAATAACCATGAAAGATGAATCTCGACGAATTCTCCGATGACGGCTTCGACGATCTTCCTGATAATGCCCTGCAAGAACTCGAGGACAATGCAATTCAATTCACCCAGGCGCAAGCCGCCTCGAGATCGGCAACACAACACCAGCGAGCTGGATCCCCTGAGGTCTACTGGATTGACGAAGATGATGACCTCGATACGACAGAAGTGACAAATGATGCTGGCTTGCCTATAGGGAGACCTGTTATAGACAACAATCTGCCACGGAACGAGGCATCCCAACCTTACCCTCGACGATCTATCCCGCCTCCAAATCCAAATTGGAATCCAATTGTCGAGCCTTCGAAACGACGTCCCATAGGACAGCCGATCCAGCAACATGTCAATGCTGCACCGCCAAATCAGCCCATGTACACTTCTCAGCAGTTCCAAACACAGAGTTCCAACTTCGCTCGTGCTCAGCCAAGTCAATTTGCTCGACCTCCCCTTCCTCAGAATCGGACAGCAGCTCCTGAGCAGCCCCAAAATCGTCCTGGCGATATCTTGTCGGCTCTCCAACAGCGAGTCGTTGCTCTCGAGGACCAACTCAAAGCGGCTTTGGGGGAGGCTTCCATTGTCCGGTCCAATTTCGTCAAATCCAACGAGGCGCACGCTGCAGAGGTTGCTCGCTTGAACAAGATTAATGCCGAGCAGCTAGCAAAGCAAGAGCGGATTGCTGAAGCAGCCGTTGCCGCCCAACAAAATGCCGATACAGAACTACAATTTCTTCAGCGTGATATGAGGGAGGTCAATGACCGTGTTCGCCGAAAGGAGCCTGCCGCGGGCGCTTCTGGGGGACTCTCGACCCCTAAGAAAGCCTCTAAGACATGGGTCGCTGATGGATTTGATGAAATGGATATTGCCCTGAGTCCAAGCAAAGGACAAGGACGAAGTAGGAATTCTGGGGCAATAGCACTGCATGTTGGTGAGAGGACACCGAGCAAAGGGAAAAGGAAACGACCGACGGTCGATAGCCCTGTGATACCATTGGAGACTCATATGGACAGCTTTGCTAGTAGCAATGGTAAAACCGAGCCTCCAGCTCAACAAGCACCGATTGTGGTTGCACCACCCCCTGCTGTACCATTCGAGGTTCGTCGATACTTTGCATTTCGTTGGATATGATGCTGACCAGATCTAGTTTCTGAAGCTCGTGCTTGACCACGGTACTCGTCGGCCAACCTTTGACGTGCTATCTCGCTTTCACTTTCCAGATGACCCAGAAACCTCCTTCTCTGCGATTGTGTTCCAGAAAATACCCCTGATGGGAGATCCTCATCGACCAATGCAACTGCTCGTGGATTTTGCGAATCTCATGAGCGGCATTTGGACCCGATGTCAAGCAGACCAACTGTGGGAACCCATCAAGTATGTGCTTTCGCTGATATCCTTCACATTCTCGCTTCACGCATCAGAAGTCGCTCCTTTTGTGATTCCCAACTTGGCAGCGCCGGCGCAAGCAACAATATGCACCCTCGCTGAATGGCAAAATCGCATTCCTGAAGGTGAAGAGCAACTGAAAAATTCCGAATTTCAGTCTATGAAGCGACATATCAAAATTGTGGACATTCTCTCGGTCTTTTATACGTGTTCGCTGGCTTGCGCTGCTGCACTTGATGTGACTGAAGACGAGGTTAAGTCACAGGCGGCAATGTTTTGGAGCTGCATATCTCCTGATCTGGTTTATAAACTCCTGAGTCCCAAACAAGAGCTACCTGATATCTTAGGAATGCTTGAGCTATTAACCACATGTTCACTTCCAGACTCACTTGGTCCCATCACGGAGAGAGAATCTCCTGTGGCTAGTCATGTCATCAATCACGTTACAAACAAGCTTACAGATTATTATTCATCGGTGAAAAGTCGTGAGCAGAAGAGCACTTTGTACCTGGCTGCCTTGCGAACACTGATTTCTTTCTCTCGCTACCCCTTTGGTGCGATGGAACTTGCATCTCACAGTCTTGCACTACCTCGGCTCGTGGCCTGTCTTAGCTCGTCTATAGACGAGTTATACGATCTACCTATTCCGTCCAACATTTTGCCGCCTAATGCTGAGGTAGACGGCTTGCGATGGGGATTGGAGGCGGCTTCGTACTCAGCGAGCCTGTATAAAATCATTTCTAAATGTGTTTTCTTGATCCACCGCCTGGTGACAGGCCCCGATACTGCCAACATTGCAGAAATCAGCCAGAAGCTGTCCACGACGCATGGTGGGAGCCAGCGATATCTTCTAGCCTTGGGAAGGCTCACATTTGCAGAAGAGGATCTTGTGATAGAGGCAGGGATTGATGGGGAGACAGTTGAAGCAGCACACGAATTACTTGAACTAGCGGTAACGCCAGATGAGGGCGAGATTGTGAGCGGAGCATTTGGAGTCTAGCACTATGGGACTGCATCTCTGGCGTTTGAATGAATCGCGGGTTTGGTCTCTGAGTTGGGTTATAGTTTCTATGGCCACCAGCAATTGGCGTTTTTGGGGATGGGGTTAGATGATACCACGAGACGATGCGTCAAAATCCCAGACTTAGACTGAAGCATATAATATTGCATTGAACAAGAAAAATGATGTATTGAACAAGACAGTACATTGCACACTACTCATGTCGTTTCTCCGTACGGTGTCGCCCCTGGACATATACCTATCCATGCTCCAACACAAAGTCCTAGAATTGTCTACTCCTATCCATTGTATGAGACATGGACGTGATCCCTGTGTTACTGTCAGCCTCAAAGTCCAATCAATGGAATTGATGGTCACTTACCAGTGGTTTTGGGTCAAGCCGTCTCGCTTCTCCATGGTTCGCCAGTTCTCCCACTTCTTCTCCGTCTTGTCGACAGACGTAGTCCAGATCTTTTGACCCCAAATGACATACTTGAGATTGAGAGCACTGCGGTTCTTCATACACCACTCGGCAATCTGCTTTCCGGAAAGTGTAGCAGACTATCATGTTGTCAGTAACTCAGGAACTACCTGGCTAATCGTGAGTTGTAACTTACGCCGCCAGCATCAGAACACATAAAGTCAGTTGCCAGACCACAGCAATGATCAGAGCTTCCAGGACAAGAGCAGTCTCTCTTACATCCAATCTCCCTAATTCTTCCAGGGAACGCAGCAACGACCTTCTTAGCCGCGTTGACAGAAACCGCCTTACAGGCTCCAACAGCAGGGATCTTGGGCGCAGAGTATCCTCCAAAGCCAGTGGCGGATGAGGAGCAGCACTTCATCTGCGATGGACCGGGACACTGATTAGATGCTGAATTGCCGGCACAGTCAGACGCCCAGCGGCAGTTTCCAGAGGAACACTTGGGCTTGGAACAACATTTGATGTTAGCTGCGTCGGCAGGACATGCGCCAGAGATAGAAGTGCCGCCGGCGGAACTACAGGCTGCGTCGGTGACACAGACGCCTGCGATGCCGTTGGGGCCATAGCAGGGTTCGTTGGGTGCGGCGAGAGATGGGGATGAGAGGAGAAGGTTGAGAAGAATGGGGATGGTTGTGTAGCGCATTGTGGCGGTTGATATGTTATCAGGATTGCTTGAGTGTCTTGTTGTGTGATTTCTTGAGAACCGGTTGAAGAAGGTCTGAGGTTCTTGGTCATTTATATAGTATTTTCTGCCCCATATTCCTCAGCCAGTTCAGTCTAGGATCATCATAAGTTTCGTGCATTCGAACAGAGACTATTCAGTCTCAAGTTGATCATCGTTGTGTAACGCCTCTTCTGAGTGAGGGCATCATGCCACTGTCGTGCTGTTCCGGTTTGCATCTTCATTTTAGGCAGGTGTTTCATCAAATATGCACATTTTGTTTCTTTTTTCCAGCTGAGCTGCAATGTTTCTCGTAAAAGAAGGTAAGAACCTTGTTTTGAGCCTAGTTTTCGCATTCGATCTTCTTCAGCTCTTCTCAATTCGAGAGTCCGCGGAATGCTTCCGTGACTTATCCCTACAGAGGAACTCGGCGTTTTAAGCTGCTGATTGGTTGACCGGGTCTTCGCAATGCGACAGCCCGGATGATCAACCGTTGACGATCATGCTTGGCTATAGATTGTACGGTCTCGACTAGATTCGATTCCGGGATTTGCAGTGATACTAACTCGTTTGTGTTGACCGAGTGGTAACTGCAACTGCCGCTTCTAGTCTTGATGCTGTTGTACAAGGCTAGGACCCTACGGGGGTTTGACCATGTTAAGCTTAGATATAGCGCGGAGACTCCGACACAATGTGCAAATGCCGCGAATACTACTGGACATTTTATAGTAAGACCTGAGGCTTCAAGGATAATCGAGACATAGTGACGTCTATATCGGTGTTTGAAACGCATAGTCAAGCCTCACTGACTTGTTGACTTCCTATTTTCGTAATTCGCATTTGTTTCTGCATGTATCTGACCACTCCTGCTCCTTAACTCATATCTTGCCAGTGGTTGTATTCCACGTCATATCAAGTAATCTGTGAAACGTCGATACCCTTGGAGGTTTAGGATATCTCTTCCATCGAGCCCTATACAGTTTTCATGCGCAGAATAGGAGATAAGGTAAGTCAATATTAAAGTCAGTACGACACAAATAACAAATAACAAGTAAACAAAAATTGTCAATGAATCATGACCTCCTAAGCCTCGTGTTTATGTCTAAACCTTTCCCACGCCCTACAGCCTGTCCTGTGGTTTCTTCTCTTGGCTATCACTGCCTTCAGAGATTCCAATTCCCTCGCCGGTCTCCATGGACTCGGCCCTTCTAGGCTCCTCACCATCCAAGAGCACATTCGGTGCGTAGGGAATCTTGCCCTCTTCGCGACGGTCGGGAGGAATGATAACATTATACCAACGGGGGACGAGGACTCCAAGTCCAATGATGACCAGGCATATATGAGCAAGTCCAAATCCAAGAATATGGAGAGGATCATCACGAAGCTCGTGGAAGGCAGGGTAAGCGAAACCGTAAATGATGGCGAGAACAGGTGCGGAGAGGAAGCGCAGAACAATAGGCCAGAAAGCGGGAATACTCCAGTTCTTTCCAGTTGCGACAATAACGTTAAGATCTCTTCGAAGCTGCTGGCCCTGTTATATCAAGTTAGCAATTGACGAGAATAATGTGAGGGAGAATCTTACAGAGTAGAAGGCCATATACCAGAAGCGCCGGACAAAGACATTGCTGAAAAGCTTTGAGAGACCAGCGCTCTTACCAATAGTTCGGCGGACAAATCCTCTATCTGCACCAAAGCTGAGAGCGGGAGGAATGTCGTCAGGTGTCTTGCCAATAATACAAGAAACGATAGAACAAATAATGAAGATGCCAAAGCCTACTCCGGCACCAGCCTCAGCTTGAACAGCGTGGGCAACAGCGACACCAAGAACCATACCGCCGAAGTATCCAAAGTTCCAGATAAAGAAAGCAGGCTTTCCAACCTGGCCAGCAACATCTCTCCAGCGGTAAAAGGTAGTGGAGAAAGCGCATTCGGAAAAGACGACAAAGACTAGAGCGACATCATTGATCCAACGGTCAACACCAGTGAGAAGAGCATAACCAAACTGAGTACAGTAAGGCAGAGAAATGAGGAACGAAATGATGACAAGGCCTGTTACCACCCACTCACGGCGAATCCTAGGTTTGGTATCCATGACTAGTGTGACAACAGCGTCGAGCATGGCGAAAGCCGAACTGTATCCAAGAACCACGAGCGTGAAGAACAGAGCAAAAGCCCAGAACGAAGAACCAGGAAGTTGTGTGATAGCCGTGGGGAGCGTCAAGAAGCCGATAGTGAAAGAACCGATTCTCTCGCCAGGAACAGGCATCATATCCAAGTACCCAACGACACCAAAGGCGGCGAAAGCAGCGAATCCTTCGAAGAGAACATTGCTGCCAACGATAAGGCAAGAGTCCATAACAGCGTTAGAGTGTTTCTGGTTGTAAGATGCGTAGGAGCTGAAGTAGCCGAAACCAACACCTGTCGAGAAGAAAACCTGACCTGCTGCAGTCTGCCAGATTTCGCCCGAAGCTAGCTTGTCGCCATTCCACTCGCCAAAGTATAGCTTGATACCCCGACCAGCGTTAGGAAGGGACACAGAGCGACCGACGAGAATGATGGTCAGAATAACAGGCAAGCCCATGGTAAAGTAGACGACACGGCCGGTCTGGCCAATACCTCGGAAAATGGAAACCCAGACGAGGAACCAAACAAAGGCAGTCCACCCAACAGTCTCTCCGATGAGAGCAGTACCAGGGTACTGCACGTAATCTTGAACACTGTTGGAAGTCTTGTTACCAGGGATCGGATCGACATTCTGGACTACGTCTTGGTAGTAGTACTCCTCAGCGCGACCCTCCCACGGAAGAGGACTTTGGAACGAGTTCCGGAAGTAAATCATGATCCAGGACAAATTGACAACGAAATAAGGAGTGACCATGAAACCGATGTACAGCAAACTGAAGCCCAGACCTTTGAGACGGTGGTTGATGTTGTTGAAAGCGACGACAGAGCCTCCGCGATAGGCTTGACCAATGCTGACTTCAAGAATAAGGGCTGGGATCGCAATGAGGAAGACGCACATGAGATATGGGATGAACCATTGGAGACCATTATTGTTGTAGACTTGGGAAGGGTATCGAATCAGGTTTCCCATACCGGCGCAACCACCCATTGCTGCTAGCAAGAAGGACGCCCTTGAGCCCCATTGATCACGTCCATCTTCAGATTTCGAAGGCGGAGGAGAAAGCCATTTTCCAACCTTTTGGAGAAATGGAGGGACTCCCATGATGTCGTATTTAGAAGGAAGAAGTGATCGAGCGTCAAGTTTCCCGTATAAACGGGCTGAGAAAAAGAGGCGATATGTCTATCGCATGAGAAGTTCTCGAAAGATGTTCCACGAGAAAACCAAGAAGCTCAATACATTGAGGAGATCCCTACATGAGTGGAAAGTCTCTTCTTTTTATTGCAGATAATTACTGGTTAACCAACATATGGGGACGAGCCCATGTCTTGGCTCTTTCACAAGGAGTGGGAGGAGGAATCGGTATCACCCCACTCAGCTACAGAAAGCGAAGCATAACGGAGACTTTGTGGATAAGATCGACTTGGCTTTCTCCGTTTGCTCAAGTCTGTGTGACGAGTGAGAGCAAAAACTCTGCGAATCCAAGGGAACCTTGACTCCGCTGCCAAGAGGACCGGAGACTTGGCATGTTGGCTTCCCCCGGTTGAAGGAACTTGGCAGGCGTTACTTGCAAGATGTACTCTGTTTCTTTCAAGGGATTCGAGTCACTGGAATGGTTATTAATTATTCTTGGAACCAACTCTTGTTACTTGTTATATGTTGGTAGTCTGTATAGTGGAGTTGCTGATTCTATGTAAGTGTTGGAGAATTAATTAAGCATAACTCTAAAAAACTACCAGCCCACAGGTTTAACCCAAATTTACTTAACCTTGACCTTTTGACTTTTTAAGCGTTTATTCCCGCTCTTTATCTGCTTGGGCAACGGCTGCGCCATATAACAGGGGTTCAGTTGCCTCTTTTTCTTGGCATAACATCAGTGGATAATACGGCAGCCGGGGGACTATTCCCTTGGCCGACGCAAGATAAGACGACAGCAAGACAAAAGCTTCAGCTCTGATCGCTTGTGCCAAGATGATACATGTGCAGCAAGTCGCAGGGCTGTACGTCACTAGACAGAACAGGAGTTTACGATAATTAAGTACTAAACGAGGCTCTGAGAAACGTCATTTATGGTATTGACTGATTGGAACTGGAGGAACCCCTATGTCTCTCTTCTCAGGGTTCTTTTACATGGTTACCATGCTCTTGTTCAGAGATTGAATAATACCCATAGTTTTAAGATGATTCAAGTGGAGGATTTCCACTTGAGCCACGACTATTATCTTGTCAAACTAATTAGATTAAATACAGAATAAGCTTAATTTGCTTTATTGATACTTCACCAGGCCATGAATCCCATCAGCCAGCCATGTTACGGAGGATTCCAATGCCACGCCCACCTCCCAATTTATTACACACAGCGTGATCATGACGTTGTTTTCACTACCAGGCACCCAAATTCTTACAACTGTGATTGACTGGAAAGACCATGTTTTTGCCAAGGATTATCGAGCGTGGGGTAAAGGTCGCATGGGCTGCTGTTTCGTTGCAAACAGACTTCGGTGCTCCCGAGCTGACGGTCCCAATGTAACTATCTTCTGCAGCATCTTTCTGGGTACAGAGTACAGGCCGAATAAACAGAAACTGAGTTGCAGATAGATCATGCCATCGCCGAGTTGTTGGACGGGGAGTTCTCAACGCCTCGTCTTGGCTATGGAGCCTTGGATGGGGACACTATCGATGGCGTGATAACTATGATCAACTCCCCGAATCATGAAACATAATTTTACTAATGAACTCAAGGCTCCATCCGATGGGTCGTTCCAGACTCGGATCAGAGATTTTGAGGAAACTGAGTAGCTGCTTGGCGGAGCAAGACGCTTTAAGACAGTCTTTCTGCATGCCTCACGGCTTCAAGAACCATCTATAGCGGCACATGGCAAATGAATCCCCCCCAGTAGTCTTATAATAGAGAGAGGAATATGATGCTTAGTTTAATTCTGTAGACAAGATTCTCAAAAGTGCTACATCTCTGGCTTTCGACCATAAACCATATGCCTACACATCAATTAGCAAAATCCAATATGCAAGAAATGAAAACATACACAACAAAGTAGGGCAGAGATCTAGGATCTCTAAATGCTCTTCTCATCTCATTGACCAGAGTCGTAACTTCCTCAATCGGCCAGCCCAATATCTCGCCGATCGGAAAGACAGCAAAACCATCGATAGACTGCTCAATGAAAGCACCATTATATAAACCAACTTGCTTCAGCTTCTTATCCTGCGCCCAGCCTCCAATAGGGACCTTCCATGACTGGGACACCAGATCTGTAAAGCCTGCTTCGCGCATGTATTCTTCCTGGCGTCCATCTCTGGCAATCTCAAAAGTTCGACCAGTCTTGCGACCGCATTCAAAGAAGAGCTGATACCATTTTCGGAAAACATGATCCTTGTTGTTATGTACTTCGGGACTCTCGCTGCGTGTTTCGATATCGATTTCGAGGCTTTCGACCCAGCCGCCTGGCCGTATATGCGTGTAAGCTTGATGAAAGAGCTTCTGCCAGTCGTCAATGGCACCGTAAAGATAGCGGAGATGAATGAAGTCGAAGTCATTCGTTTCAAACGTCCAGTCAAGTTGGGCGTCATCAATCTGGAATATGCAGTTTGGCGGTACAAAGGCTGGCTGAACTGCTGAGATATCGATGCCGATTACTTCGGCGGAAGGGTACTCGTCTGCCATGTCACTAATACAATTAACGCTTCACGACTATATCGAGGGCCTGTAGGCATGGGCAGACGTACATAGCCCACATTCCAGTACCAGTGCCAACGTCGAGAATTTTCTAGCCCTGGTCAACTTTATATCTCTCATGGTTTGCCTTAAGGGTTTTATACCTGGGGGTTCTCGCCGATGGGAGATTGATGGAGCTGGTTTTCTAGAAGTAGGAGAGTACAATGATGTCTAGAGGTGTTGTTGATTATTATGTGATTGGGCAAAGTTGTAATGGAAAGGATAATTACAGTATATCTTGTCCTTCTTGAAAGTGATCATCCGTGGGCGCCCTAGGTACACATGTGAGACTCTAATTGTTGAAAGATTTCTATGCAGACTGACCAATACTCAGTGGTCTTGGACTGTTGGAAAGGCCGACTGTTGATATGTCTATACTCAAAGATGCTGGATGTCAGAGACGCTGTTGAACTGCGGAGACTGTCGTATTGAATCAGCGTTACCTTTTGTATCGACCGAGGACGATAGAAGAAGGATTGGACATTTGTATTAACCATAACTTACCTACCACGATCCATAGACTCGTCACCATATACGCTGCCCAACACTTGAGGGTCCTGTCGGATGATGATTAGCTATGCGTCAGCGCGATACTTGAAAGCTGGGAGGGCTCTTGAAGAAAGGCTTCAGTGCTTGCAAGTCACTCACAAACTCAATAGGATCCATATCAGAAGATCGCAGAATCCTTTGTCCTTGGTCTTGTGTATCTCGTTCCATGGTGGCTCTGGCTAGAGCGTGTTTCCTCGTAAACAAATGTTTCTTGAAGCTCAAGATCCAAAAAATATTGACCAAATGAAGAATATATTGATGTTTGTAAATGGAGAGATGAGACGAGATACCAAATCTAGTAGTCGACCGAAGATCACGGTTAAAGAGAATCAGAATAAGCGAGGGGTTACGAACTTGGAAGGTGTTACAAATGCTGCAAAGGCGCTACATCTAATTGATCATCGTCAATGGACAAACAGCAAACAGTTAAATGTGTGTGGCATGTAGTCTGGATCGAAAAATGGTGTTCTTGGCCACTGTTGATCCCACCAACGGGTCTACCAAACAGTACTAGATACCCTCATGTTTCATTTCGTAGCGAGACGCCAAGTGTTTAACATATTCTTCAGTCCTAGTTCTCAAGAACCCTTGATCTAAACTGTCCATGATCGCCATAACCCCTATTATATCGTATCTAGTCTGTTTCCTATGCTCGTTAGTAGCAAATATGGTCTCAATCATGCTGTAGACCTTAGATATCTTCTCGCTCCTCGAGGTATCCAAACTTAGGAGCCGTTCTTGTGTGCTTGAGGCCAATGTCCCAGGTAACGCATCTTGTATCAAGAGGATATATACACAGAGAACTCCAAGTTGCTATATAATATATGTTATTCACAATTTCTGCTGCACTCTAATGCTAATTCTAATGCTCATTTCAACTCATAATCAAACGTCAAAGACAGTGGTATCTCCTCAACGCAATCTACAGCACTTCAAAAACCATGCATGATAAAGATTTCTGACGCCCTGGCCCCTTCTTTTAGTCTGCATCTAGAGCTCGCGATGTCGGCTGGACTCTCCAGTGATGCTTTCCTCATACTCAGTCAAGCGCAGCGCCTCCTCCACGTCGTTAACAAAGTGCCTGTCGCCGGCCATCTCCACGATACCGCTGCTTGACATCAGACGCCATACGGGATGGTCTTTGCGGGCTGGGCAGCGAGAGAAGTAGACGCGCACACCTCGTTCGGTATAGTTGCGAACAATCTCTGCCAAAACCTGGGTGCCTGAACCATCCATGGAAGTTACACCGTGAATGTCAAAGATGACGTTTCGGTTCATGTCGGCGTGACGAAGTCGAGGCAGAGCAGGGTGCGCCTTTGAGGTGCCGTAGAGCTCCAGTCGGCGAAGTCGAGACTTGAGTTCTCCTGTGTTGGCAAACGTCAAAGGCTCTGGAATCTTGACGATAAGGCATCCCTCAACGAACTCCAGGCTTGCCTTGTCACCCTCGGCGTTCTCAAATCGGTTGGTTCCAGGGATTCGGCCCAGAATCTGAATTCGTGGTCGCGTACTATGCTTGATGACCATGAGCATCGAGATTCCAACACCAAACGCCATGCCAAGTGTGAGAGAGTAGAACATGGTCGCCAGGAAAATGACTGCCATAAGACCCAGTTCAGTCCAGCCGCGAATCTTCAGGAAGAAGCTAATGTCGTGGGGCGCCTCTTCTATCAGCGAGTATGCCACGACAGAAATCATGGATGAAAGGACGGGTTTCTTTGCAGGGTTAGCTCATGCGACAATGTTCGGTGCATCTGTGACTTACTGGCAGGTAGTAAAAGTATGGAAGAAGGAAGAAAATTGAGAGCAAAGAGATGATACTCAGAAACATGGAACTGGCGGGGCTCTTACCACCGGTGCTCTTATTCACCTTGCTTCGACCGTATCCGCCAAACGCTGGCAAGCTCATGAAGCAACCACCAACCATATTGGCAATGCCGAGCGCAATCATCTCTCGGTTAGCGCTCAATTGGATTCCCTGGATGGTCTCACTTGAACCCAGACTTTTGGCAGCGACAGAAGACTCGAAGAATCCGAGAAGCGCAATCAGGAAAGAAGTCGACATGGCACTTCGAATGTGCGGCATGTGCTGCAGCTTGAAAGGCCATTGGAAAGCAAGCAACTGGCCATTGGCAGCCTTGACTGTTCCGAGAATTTCGACACCTTGGTTCTCCCAGTCCAGTCGCCAGCAGAGAATCGCAGACACGACGACGACAACGAACCGATCAGGGATATACGCGACACCAGGGTACCTGGGCTGAAGTCGGTTTTTGAGTTCACTAAATCCATGGTCAACGTTGTGCGCAAAATAGCCATAAAGCGCCACTTACCGGCAAATCATGATAACACAGAAGCTAATTCCGGCAATTGCAAATGTCAATCCATGCGCATTGTCGACATTTCCAATGATGAATCTGATCTTTTCTACGGGGCTTCCATGGCTGACGCCCGCCTTGTCAGCCAACTCAGCGAGTCCTAATTCAGGAATCAGCTGGTCAACGGCGATGACGAAACCAATAGCACTGATGAAGCCGCGCAGAAAAGGCTTGCTGAGCACGCTGTCCATGAAACCTAGTCGCGCAAGTCCAGCAATGACAACCATTGCACCCGCCATTCCTGCGACAATACCACAGATCTGCGCATGAAGCATATCATTGTCTTCGTCTTCTCCAGAGCCAACGTTCTGCTTGACAACAGTACCGACAAGAAGTGAACCTGCAGCTTCTGGGCCGACAACCATCTGGGGGCAAGATCCGAGTAAAGCGTAGATGAACGGGTTGAAAACGAAAGCGTAGAGACCGTGGATTGGAGGGACGTGAGCGAGGTTTGCAGCAAGAGACAGGGCCATCGGTAGATAGAACGAGGCCATGGTGACGGCTGCGATAATATCGCCTCGGAGGTATGAGACTTTGTACTGGCGCATCCAGTTCAAACAGGGAATATAGTATGCCATATACCTGTCGAAAAGTTAGTAGGCCATTCGACGGCTATTCGACATTGGTAGCTCTTACATAAAAGCTGTGTCCTCAATACCGGCTTGCTCAGCTAGCATACTGCTGTGGCCCATTGTCTTGGTTCGCATCCTCTTTTTCAACCACTTCTTCCAATCATCATGACCCACGATGGTCGTAATGGCATTGTCAAGTACAGGAATGTGCGTTCCCGATCCTGCGGTCTCGCTACCATCCTCGTCGGTACTCCTCATTGTCAATGTTGGGCTCATGGGCCGTGGACTGAAAGTGCCATGGCTGCAGATACCTGGGTGGGCAGGATGAACGCTACCTCGACGCTGGCTTAGACGGTCGTTATTCCCATCCATCAGAGGTGTAGATTCATTGGCGAAGATCTCGTCTATGGTAGCCCCATGGGGATGTCCGGGCGGCTCTGCCAGTGAATCATTTTGGTTTCGGCTAACAGTTTGACGAAGAGTGCTTGGCTGAGCAGGACGATGGTCCGTCGAAGAATTTGTTCGGTCGTTGGAGGGTCGATTCGCCATAATTGCGAATATCGATCTAGTCGCAGCGTATGGTCGTTTGGTAAAGTCGACTCGGTCGGCTTGTGTTTTTGAATACTTCTTCTATGAGGCTATTTGTAGCAATCTATATTTGAGCTCGTTTTTACGAGGGTTTCCTGCTTGCGATGGCGCAGAATGCAGTCGACGATCGTCGGCAAAAAGATGCCGGCTTGGAGTTCGACAAGTACACAGACGATAAAGAGCAATGCATGGAATTGGTAAGGTGAGACTCTCGGAAGCTGACTGTCATAAGATCAAGAAGAAAGAAACAAAAGAGAAAAGACTGAGTACATAGGTAGGTTAAAGACAAAAGAACCAAAAATTCATGTCTCGCTAAAGCTTCCCAAGGTAGGAGGAGTACTAAACCCGTTCCAAGGGTACCATCTTATGCCGTCAATCGGTCTGGTCCCTTGACTCGCTGTGCGTAATGATCAGGCAGTTTCTTATCCCTGCTGGCCCCCCATTTTCAGATCGAGTCGCAGCTTTTAACCCAATCATGATCAACCGTTGCGAAATGCCACCCACGCAATGGCTGTAGGATGCCCATCTTTGACCGCTTACGGGGGGACCCTTCAGTGACATCAGAGCAGTAGCCTCCAGGTGACTTCAAAGCTCTGGCGGGGTGACTGACTACAACCACCACAAGGAATGTCGGCGAATGGCCAACCTCGTGTTGTTTAGCGATCCCTGTAACTGCACGGACTATAACTAGCGAGTGGTCGAGATGGACCCGACTTTGGCCGCGAAATAAACAACTTCAAAGTTCATGATCATTTGTAATCGGCCCCGAATAGCTGACACGTCGATGAGACAACAACTCAGTTTGAAGGAAGTTCTTAAGAGATGAATGGTAAATGGTTTCACCGATATGTATTTTCAGTAGTCTCAGTATTGCTAAAAAAGGAACAAAATTTTATGCTTTCAAATTCAGTATTCTCGCTCATCAGGAAATCATATCTCCAACCAACTGGTAGATCGCATCGAGATCTGTTGTTGTTACATAATTAATAACCCAGCGCCTATCATGCATTGACCGTTCTAGACCTGCTCGTTTACGAACAGGCCAGCCATGCCCTGGCCTGTGCCGATACACATGCTTGTCAGAAGCATCTTCTTCTTCTGCCGCCTGCACTCAGACAGACCTGTCACAATCTGTCTGGCACCAGTAGCACCTAGGGGGTGACCCAGGGCAATAGCTCCTCCACGGGGGTTCATCTTTTCTGATGTGAGACCAAGCTTGTCCTGGCAGTAAACGGCCATGGAGGCAAAGGCCTCGTTGATCTCAACGATATCAATATCATCCAGGGAGATGTTGTGCTGGGCGAGAAGCTTGGGAATGGCGATGCTGGGACCAATACCCATGATGCGAGGGGCAAGACCAGCAACGGTAGATCCGACATACTTGGCCAAGATGGGCTGGCCCAGCTTGATGGCAGTAGATCGCTTCATCAACAACACGGCAGCAGCTCCGTCGGTGAGCTGACTGGCGTTACCACCGGTTGTGGCTCCACCCCATTGAGGGAAGGCGGCGCGAATCTTGGAGAGGCTCTCAGCAGTGGTGCCTGGTCGGATGCCCTCATCCTGGGTAAGAGTGACCTCCTTCTCCTGGCCGTCGGGGCCCTTAACCTTGGTGGTGATGGGCGCAATCTCATCTGCGAACCAACCAGCCTTTTGCGCAGCCTCGGCCTTCTGGAAACTACCAGCAGCAAACTTGTCCATCACCTCACGGGTGACGCCAAAGTCCTTGCTAACGTTCTCGCTTGTCCAACCCATGGGCTGCGTACAGTCAAGAGCCTCCTGGCTCTTTGATGTAACGGCCTCGTCGAAGGGCTTGTCGAGCGCGTCGCCACCGATGGTCATCTGTTCGGCGCCCATGGCAATACCGATCTCGATGGAGCCATTGGAGATGGAGTGGGCGATATCGGCGGTGGCCTTGAGACCGGAGGAGCAGAATCGGTTGATGGAGGAGGCACCGGCGGTGTTGGGGAAACCAGCGGCGAGAGCAGAGGCGCGAACCTTGTAGGCAGCCTTGGCATCAGAGACCTGAAAGAATGTCAGTAAGCGCTCGTTCTATCATGACAGGAATCGCAACGCACGTTTCCAAGGCAAATATCCTCAACAAGGGCAGGGTCAAGGTTTGATCGTTCTCGGACTTCCTTCAGGATAGCATAGAGCATATATTCAAGCGATGTGTCCTTGAAGCCACCCTTCTTGGCCTTTGTGAGTGGTGTTCGCACGGCGAGGGTGATAACAATATCGTCGGGGTTCTTGGACTGGCTGTTGTATCGTTGTCAGTTTGTTTACATTGCATCGGTTATCAACCGTGGCAACTCACATGCTGTTAAGCGCTGACCCAGGGGCCAGGTGCTTGATAATAGAGCCAATACGTTCAGCAGCCATTGTGTATGTGTATGTGTATATTATTCGAAAGAATTATGTTGCAGATCAAGTGAGAGACTGAAGCGACAGCGCAATTGACATTAAAATAGGAGAAAAGATGCCGAGGCGAACTTCATCATGGGAGGGGTCTGGGGTTAAACTCCAACGGAAGCCGCAACGGTACTTACAGCGGCGCATCGAAATGTGTGGGGTTAAGCCGAGGTAGCGTGTTGAATAACCACTTCCCGAGGTTCCGGGGTGATTATCTATTCTGTGGGTCCGAAATTGCTGACTTAGCATCTTTTATATCGATAAACGAAGCATTCCAGAGGCACCAACAAACAATCACCAAGTGGCCTCCATCTGCAGACTCGGACAGAGCAACATTAATTACCGAGACCGGAACGACTCAAGAGTTTGACTCCTCTCTCTAGTCATTCACATCAGCAATAAAGTCTGCTACAATTTTGAGTTCATTGCTTGATATCCTTTTTCAACCACCTTGTGTCACTCGGCTTCATTAATCACACAATCACCTTGCTTTTGTCAGCAATGTTTACTGAGTAGTAGAAAATTTGATCTCCAAGCTTGAGGATACACAAATAAATAGCCTAAGACATATGGTCTAAGTAGCCTAAATTGGCCTACTAATACCGTCTTTCATGGTTCTCGCAACCAACTTTTCTGGTGCCATGATGACTGATTCCAAGAATTGACAATCGTGGTGCCTGGAATGCATCATAAAGTTAGATCAGAGCGTCCTTGTTGGACTTTGACGGTCAGTCAAGAATGCTCATTTTTATATGACAACAGTCTTTAGCTCTCAAGTTACCCTGTAGTCTTGCGAGATAAGCTGTTTATTCAACAATTTGGGACAAGAGCAAGTGCCACGATATTGGATGCCATCTCAATTGGATGTCCAACTAAGAATCCCTGGAAATGTGACAAACAAATCCGCCAACCTGGTGCAGAGCCCACTGTGTTGCTGGATCAGCCACATGGCCGAGAAACACAGCCCACAAACTCAGAAGCAGGACCTGCGGTAGCGTGGTATTTGTTCCTGGATCACAAATAAGATCCAATAGCAGCCATGAGATATTCAGGACGGCTTCTCGGAAGTCCCTAGCGTTTGACTGTCTGGACCACTGATAAGATGTGCCTCTTCCTCATCCGGCCATGAAAGAGCCAACGGGCCAGATAGCTTCATACCATACCCATTTTCGGTGTTTTGCCACAAGCCATCTATACAAACTAAGTTATGTGAAATCTTGGGACTGAGAACGATTTGAAGAGGACGGGTGTTCCGACTGTCTGGCTTTTATATGCTCAGGCATCTACCCCAGTCTTCTCTGAAACCGAGTTTCGTTATAATGTTAATCGTTCAATTCATTCATTACCTTCTCTTATACTACATACAAGTGTGAAACAACGTTCTTTACTATCTCGTGCCTTTACAAGCAGACTGGTTCTATCACTGATAGCTTCCTACCACCAAAGCGCAACAACATCAGAGATCGATTTGACAGATATCAGTCACATCGAGCGAATATAAGTAGCCCCTGTTGCTGCAAATAGCTCCCACCTGATATCCTGCATTCTATTACTACCAATACTCGGAACCAGTCTCACAAACACGTTCAATATGGCTCTTTCGAAACATCTCCTATCTCTCCTACTAGCCAGTCTCGCATCCGCTACCCGTGATCCCAAGCGAGGACTTTGCTACGTCCACAACAAACAAGAACCACAAGACGACAAGATATGGGTCCAAGACGGCGGCGACATCACTTGGTACTATAACTACGAAGACCAGCCCTCACCCGTATACAACGACATTCCTCAAGAAAAGTTCGAATTTGTGCCTATGATGTGGGGAGTCGGATCTGATACCAGCGACACAACCTTTCTCCAGAATGTCAAGGGCCTCATAAACGACGGGATCAACATCACTCATGTTTTAGGATTCAACGAACCAAATGCCGGAAACGAAGTCGGTGGTAGCAACATCAAGCCAAAGGATGCTGCTGAAGCTTGGGTTGCCAACTTTGAACCACTGGGTGAGATGGGCATAAAGCTTGGTCTCCCTGCTTGCACCGGTGGATGGGATGGTATGCCATGGCTGAGGCAGTTTCTCGGAAATTGCACCGAGATCAAGAGTCGAGGTGGTCCTAAGAAGAATTGTACATGGGACTTTGTCCCTGTGCATTGGTATGACAACTTTGAGGGTCTAGCATCTCACATCGGTGAACGCCTAGCCGAGTATGTATTATCGCGTTAGTCGCCATTGAACTCAGCTAACGAATCTTTAGATGGCCCAATACTTCCATATGGATTACTGAATACGCTTACGCTCACCAAGATACCAAGCCTACGGATTCGTTCTTCAAACAGACTCTCAAGTGGTTCGACGAGTCAGAATTCATTGGTCGATACACTTACTTTGGAGCGTTTCGATCTGATGTATCCAACGTTGGCCCCAACGCTGCATTCCTTTCTAGCAGTGGCTCTCTTACAACTATCGGAGCGCAATATCTGGGACTTAACTCCACAGGCGAAAATAGTGCATCGCACTCAAAAGTCAGCCTTCCCAGTGTCGGGCTTCT